CCACCCGCCTCGGCCTCCCAGAGTGCTAGGATTACAGGCGTGAGCCACCGCGCCCGACCCTAAAGTCACCTTTTAGTTGTTAAACACAAGGGCCTCCTTCCAGCCTTCCTCATTCTATTTGTCCTCACTCTGTAATTCCTGACAGTTGACCATTTCCTTCTTTTAATTTTCCTATTAACTTCTCTTTTTTTTTTAACCTTCCCCTGGTTTCCTACCCCACTGAGCTCTGTCTCTTTTTCTAGTTCTTACATTCACACCTTTAATGTTGGTGTTTCCTTGGGTTTTGTCTAAACTGACTTCTCCTCTAACAAGAGAAGTTCTCCCTGGGCAATTTCACCTATTCACATGATTTAACTACCACCTACTTTTCTAAATTTGGATATCCAAATTTCTCTCTCATCTGAACATGCATTTTCTTTTGCAATTCTCCTAGTTTCTACATTCTCTGTCTGAAGAACTCCCCTGTTCCTCCAATGGCAAAAACCTTCTCAGGCTTTAAGACCTAAAATGTCGGCATCTCAGTGAAGAGCTCACCAACTTTCCCAAATAGTATTCCTTAACAGTCCAGTTTAGAAATCACTTTCATGCAGCCAATTAAGCTGACCGTGCTACTTTCCTCATGTGGGCCAGTGTGCAATGGCTGCAAACAGCAGCCTTCTTGGTAGTGTATGTAGCCTGTTGCTTGTATGGGTTGCTCTAAGGGACCTTGGAGACAGTCCCTTCTGATGGATGTTCATGTGTCAGACCTTGTGCTGTCCCCAATCTAGGCTCCAGACAGGTATGCGTGGTGCCTTTGCAAAGCCCCAGGGCACCGTGGCCAGAGTTCACATTGCCCAAGTCATCATGTCCATCCACACCCAACTGCGGAACAAGGGGCATGTGATTGAGGCCCAGTAGGGCCAAGTTCAAGTTCCCTGGCCACCAGAAGATACACATCTCAAAGAAGTGGGGCTTTACCAACTTTAATGCAGACAAATTTGAAGACGTGGTAGCTGAGAAGCCGATCATCCCAGATGGCTGTGGGGTCAAATACATCCCCAATCGTGACCCCCTGGACAAGTGGCAGGCCCTGCACTCATGATGGTTTCCACTGTGCTGACCCCTCATTTGTGCCCACCAATAAATCCTACTTCCTGTCCACTTAAAAAAAAAATCACTTTTAAGTACACCATCTAATGAGAACCTCACAAAATAGGCCACTATTAGCACACCCTTTCTAGAGATAAGAAAACTGAGGTTTGAAGGGATCAACAACTTGAACAACGTAACACTACCAGTGGAAAACATCAACTTAAATTAGGTCTTCTGACTGTGGGTCCAATGATGGTCTAATACTATGGACCCCAACCCCCCGGCCGTGGACCAGCACCAGTCCATGGTCTGTTAGGAACCCGGCTACACAGCAGCAGGTGAGCAGCGGGCAAGTGAGAGAAAATCAAATTATTAAAATTATTTTTCAATTATACACAGATATCAAAATTGGTTAAGACAAAAAAAGAGTTGTTTTTTTTTATGATAAAGGAAAACAACATAGAAAAAAACTAAAAGCAATCGAAGTTTAGAACATTCTAAAGAGGAGTACATGCTGTATTCTCAGTGACTCAGGAGGCTGAGGTGGTATTGCTTGAGCCCTGGAGTTTGAGACCAGCCTGGGCAACATAGAGAGACCCTGTCTCTAAAAAAAAAAAAAAAGAATTAAGAAGATTAGCCGAGTGTGGTGGCTCAAGCCTGCAGTCTCAGCTACTCAGGAGGCTGAGGCAAGAAAACTGCTTGAGCCCAGGAGTTTGAGGCTGCAGTGAGCTGTGACTGCACCAGTGAGCTGTGATTGCACCACTGCACTCCAGCCTAGGCAACAAAGTAAGATCCCCATCTCTTAAAAAAAAAAGAAGCAAAATAAAATGGAGTACAAAAGATAAATTCTTTATATTTTAAATGAAGAAATTAAAATCTTGAAGCCAATAATCCAATATACAGGCTTATTAGCCAATAAATGATGTATAGGATCCACTTTCATAAAGCCATCTAATACTCATTAATGCTGATTTTGTTTAAAAGGGGGAAGGGATAAACAAGATTAAATTCAGAAAACAGAAATCATCAATAATACTGTGACTAGGAAGTAAGTAGGCATCTTTGAGATGGTTAGTTGAAAAATCAGAGAACACAAAGCTCTAGGACAAGAAGCCAAAGAGCAGAACAGTAGAGGGAGTTGGAGAGTTGAAACATTATCATTTTGCAGCCATTATGGTAAAGACCAGTTCAGGAGATTCCCTGATGTTGCTAAATGTAGGAGTGGTAAATTTAATGAGGACGAAGGCATCTGCACGGTTTCAGTGTCTACCCACAGATAATGTGGGGAAAAAAACAATGATACAATAGAGAAACTGGACAACCCCTTGACTGGGAAAATTAATATCATGAAGATGGGTATCCTATGCCTCCGAATTAATAGTCTGAGAAGGACACATCACCTATAGTAGTATTCTCACCACGGATACATAACCTGAGTCTTAACATGAGGAAACACCAGCTAACCCAAATTGGTTAACATGCTGTAAAATAACTGGCATGTATTCCATAAACATGTCAAGGTCATGAAAGACAAAAAAGGATAAGGAACTATTCCAGATTAAAAGAAATTAAAGAGATATGACAACTAAATGAAATACATGATCCTGAACTGGATCCAGTCCTAGAGAGAAAAAAAACACTTAAATAAAATCTTTATTGGAACAAATTATAAAACTGGATTACATACTATAGATTGTACTGATGTTAAATTTCCTGAATACATCAATACTGTGATTGTTTTAAGAGAATATCTGGTCTTAAAATATACACCCTAAGGATTTAAGGGTAAAGGGACATGATGCATACAAGCTATCCTCCAATGGTTCAGAAGACATAATAATATGAATATGTGTATGTGTATGTATGGGGAAAGTAAGTGACAGAGAGACATAAGGCAATGTAGCAAATTTCTAAAAATCAGTGAATCTGCAAAAGGGTAATTCTCTGTACTATAAAAAAGTTGCTACTTTTTTATAAACTTGAACCTATTTCATCAGACTAAATCATTAAAAATTAGAGCAGAGGAACAGGGTAAGCTTTTCACATACATCTTGTCATTAGATTTTTTTTAAAAAGGCAAGTAATATTACAATATTACTTGCTCAAGAGAGATTAAGTGATCACTTCCAGAAAAGAGATCTCCTTGTTTCTGTAGAACTCCATTAGACTGCAGTTCAATGGCCAAAATGTTTCTGACTCCTGGAAGCTTCAAGGTCACATGTTGTCTACAGCTATTATTCAAGATTTTAAACTTTTAATGAGTTGTATGCATTCTCTCATAAAAGTATCATAAATTTAATCAATTAATAAGTAGCATATCTAAACACTTGAGAGAATGGGCTCTGAGATTAGAACTTCTGGGTTCAAATTCAGGCAGTACAGTGTTCTAGCCTTAAGATCTTAGGCAAATTAACCACTGTGCTGTGCTCCAATTTTCTCATCTATAGAGTGGGATCAGAGAAGCATCTGGTAACAATCCATGAGGTTGTTAAGGGGACTGAAACAGATAATTAATATAAAATAGTGAGCACAAATGCACAAGCACTCAGTAAATGTTAGCTATTTTTATGTTAAATGCAATCTGGACAGCAGTGGTCAGAGTGAAAGCCATAATTTTTTTCCAAATCTGACAAAATCTAAGAGAAAAACATCTTAGATGTTCACAAAAGTAAATTAATTGTAAGTAAATCACATGCAATTGACCAATGCAGAATTACAGGCTAATTTAGTTGAAACAGTTTGATAATAGAACTGCAGAGTTGCAACAAGTTCCTTGTTGGAACAATCGATCGTCTATGCACATAATGAAAAATGACATCTGTTATCTTACTTTTAAACTTTTCTAAACTGGGAATATGGAAAAAAAACTGCATTTTACACGCAACATATAAGATTTAATCTAAATACAATCAAAACATAATCCCAATTTCAACTACCAGCACTTTCTAGACTACTCAAACCTGTTAGTTAAATTTTAAATGTACCCTTCTGACATCTGCAAAGCTACCAGCGCAGCTATTTTACTTTAATTTAGGCATGAATCTAGTGACAACCTGTTATCCTGTTATATGAACATATTGATTAGTACTGAAAGATTAAAAATAAGAAAAATGTAAAAATGATATTAAAATATAAAGTTACCAGAATTCTGTAAGTTTAACCCCTCCCCCAAAAAAAGAAAACAATTTGGGGATTCCTTTCCCTTTCTCAGAGGTACTTAAAATACTCTTAGAAACATTTTACAAAACTAAATGTACATTGTTTAATGTTCGTTTTTGAAAACTCACATTATAATTTGTAAAAGTTTACGATGTGTTCATAGTAACACTCTTTTTAAATATTCTCTACTCGTATGCTTATTTTTGATTGGAGTTTTTCTCTTAGTGCAAAGGATATTGTCCAAGTACCTTCATTAATGTTGGTATAAAACAGTGTCCATTCATAATGCCTAAAATCACTTCTCTACTTTTACACTCCAGGGTAACGGAATAATTTCCCATAAGCGACGCTCACATTATCACTCTCAACCCCCAAAACACTCCTTTCACCTTAATAAGAAAAACTCTCAACGTTTGATCCAACAAACATTAAATTAACTAGAAGTCTATACTCAAAATTCAGACTCCTGTGCCCCAGCCCAGACCAACTAAGAGTCTTGGGGGTGAGATCTAAGCTCACCAAGTGGTTCGTTTTCCATTAAAGTTTAAAAACTACTAGAGACCCCTACACACACTCACCCCAAACTCGCCAACAACTCTCACCACCCCCAACTGACCCAACCCCACCCACCCACCAGACACATTACCGCCCCGCTCCGCCGCTGTCTCCGGCGACCTCATTCCTCTCCCGGGAACCCAAGCCTGGTGGCCTCTCCCCCAAGGATCCCAGCTTCTCAATCCCGTGCCCGCACCCCAAACCTTTCTCCTCACTTCTTCAAATCGCTGCTAAAGAGGCCGAAGGCGCCCGAGGGGGAAATGGTTGAGGTCGCCTCCTGACCCAGCTCCGTCGCCTCCCCTCCTCCGGACTGCTCATTGTAAGCGAAATTGTTGCTGGACATTGCCGCGGCGCTTGCGGGTGTGCGACTGGTCGTGCCGGGGGTTCTCTCCAAAGGGTTCCAGTCCAGAGGACACGGAACAAAACTAGTTTTCGTGCGGAGGGGTGCGCGCAGGCGCTTCCGGACTCGTCACGGCTCCCAAAGCCGACCTGGCGGTCTACCCCTTGCGCATGCCCAGTGTGCAGGCCGGCCGGAGCCCACCGCCGGCCACTCCGGGCCTGCTGCGCTTGCCTTCTCCGGGTTTTAGAGGTGGCTGAGACGCCGAGACCAGGCTGCGTGAAAAGGAGGCCGCGGGCTAGCGAACCACTTGAACTCGCGGCCCTCAAAGAGTTTTATTGGAGAAAGATACCCATTGTATCCATTTTGATCCCTTGAGGAGATTCCAGAGCCTGGACAGCCCTTTGCTCGACTTCTGCTGTAAACCAATAGCTTTCAGATTTCTCCGGAAACGCCATTTAACTCGCCAGATCAACTTTCCTAAGCCCGCCACGATCACTTTTCCTTCTCATGCTTGCTTCCGCTCCTCTCTGCAGCCGGCGTTGCCTTGCGTTCACATCCGCCCCAGCCCCCTTTATCCTAGACTTTGAGGAGGCCGCTCCCTAAGGTGGTTTGGGAAATGCGCGGAGAAGCGATCATTCCATCTGTGGGACGAAAATCCTGGGGCCAGCAGTTCCCGTTTGGAGCTAAAGGGGTGCGTCCTACCAGCGTCTAGCTACCAAGAATGAAATAACGTGGAGCCACCTCGCGGGCCAGGAGTAGCCACCCCCTTCCTCCGTTCTTTAGCTGTCTGTCGCGTCACTTGCTAACATGCACTGGGGAGCCCAGGCTGGAAGGCTGCCTGGCCCCGGAGCAGCTCTCCCCGCGTGCCAGCACCTAAAAAGCCTACTTCCAGGCGTCCCTTCCCGCGGCCCGCCGCCTCGCGTGGATTTCAGCGCCTTCCCTACTGCCTCGGGTTAAATCCCCGAGCCCCAGAAACCAAGGGCTGAAACTGCCGAGGCACTACTAGGGTAGCCGGGTGAAGCGCGACTAGGGACCTGGCCGACTCCGCTAGGGCGGTGGGGCGTGTTCGAGGATCAGAGTGGGATCCTTGACTTTTCAAAAGACTACACTGTTACTGTGGAACACGCACGACGGTGACTCTGGGTGGGAGAGGAAGGAACGTCCTCCAAACTTCATAGTCAAAGCTTGGCAGGTTTTTAATTACGCTGTTAGAATACCAAAGAATTACTCCTTGCCCCCTGTTACCAAGTGTGAACCAGATTTTTCTATTTCCTGACAGGATATGTAGTGTCTCTGTATTATTGTCAAATAAGCTGTTTTTTTGAAAAAAGATATTTTTTGCTAATACTTAAAACCTTTATTGAATTTTCTAATTTCAGTTTCTGTTCATCTAACCCTCATGATAATAGATAAGTTTGGTTTATATATTTTCAGACTTCTTTTCTAAGCATATAAAAACTACATATGTATGTGTATATTTCTCCAAATACCAGTTTAAACTACAATACCCTTCTGCATTTTACCTTTTTTTCTGAATATACTTTGGAAATCTTTTCTCGCTCTCTCTCTCTCCACACACACACATATCTATGGTTACTACTTTGTTCTAAACATCTACAGAATATTTCACTTCATAGGTGCACCTTTGTTTATTTAACTGATAACCTATTGATACACATATAGATTGTTTTCAATTTTAGACTATTTCAACAACTTTGCTATTGCATGTCTTTCTTTGCACCCTGGCATCAGTATTTCCATAAGTTAACATCCCAAAAGTCCAATAGCTAGATCAAATGAGATGCACACTTAAAATTTTAATTTTAATAGATATTGCCAAATTTCTAACCCAAAAAGAGAGTACCATCTATGTATTCCACCAGTATTTTCCTGTTTCAACGTACCTTTTC